AGCCGAATTAATTAGTCTACATTATGCGAACGCAAAATATATTCACGCGTGATATACGTAATAAAATACATAACTTCCACTTTGGGAAGTACATCAAGTGCCAGATATGTATATTGTACTTATATAAACGTCCGAAATAAAATAGTAATACACCCACAAGATATACTGACACTGAAATATTGCGTCTGGAATTCTTCGTTTCATCCCCCCCACGCGTTATTATTTTCCCCACGCCATCGACCATCCGTTAAAATGTGACGACGACAGCGTCACGCTCAACATGATAATTACTCGTTGCGTTCAGCTCCCTTAATGGATTCCGACGATTACAATGAGGATGCATTTCAATTGTAGAGCGCAGACGTGCGAGTGTAAACGCAGGTAAAATAGCGCGCGCGAAAGCGGAATGTAAACAAGCATTTGCTGCACCGAAGTAAAGAGATACACCGCACGAAATGTACGGGGTAGGAATATTCGCGTCCTGGATGGATGCGCGATGAAAATGTAAAACTTAGAGCCGCCTTTATACACTTGTCCTTTCTGTCACCAATCCCTTTGTATTTCGTCCCCTTTTTACTTTTCTACTAATCTTCTATCGGCCCTTTTATTCCTTTTCCATTATAATTGCCGGCCTGATCTACTTCCAAATATTATCTCCCTTTGTAAATTGCTTGATTTATTTACGAGTAATTAATCATATGATTATCATTAATATCATTAATATTATCATTAATATCATTTTTACCTAGGGGCCTAATAATGTGCTCTTATCTTAATGAACATTTGATGGTTTATCAGTCTCCAGTTTTCGTGCGTAGATATCATTTTGATATACTTTCTCCTCGTTTTATTTGTTAATGTAGATATTTCCATAATGTAAAATTGCTCGTATAGGAATATTATGTCCTAAAGTATACGAGGCGAATATCGCGCGTCTTGAAAAGAACGCGAGTAAGATGAAGCGGGTCCTCACCTTGTGTGTCACATTTCGAAGATAATCCTTCCGTATATCACGCAAAAATATCGCGGATGGTACTCCTACGTTGAAAACAAATGGACGAAAAAATTCTTCCGGGTTTCTCGAAAAACGTTCTCGAAAAACCGCAATAGGAATGCGTGTCGTATCATGCGAACATTACGTCACGCCTCGCCCATGTGGAGACTGCGCAAAACGGACTGACGCGCGATGTCATCCCTCTAGAAAATTTACGCGTTTACACCCATGTTTCCCGGACCATTCCTGCATTACATTCAGCACCTCTGCTCCGCTCGCAATAATTCAATCCCCGATTAGACCACGATGTCCATGACAGGTCACGGATTATTCGCAAACGCGAGGTCAGCAGAGAGCTCCAATAGCGCACACGTGGAGCACTTGTACATACACCCACACACATATATACACACACACACACACACATACACGGAGTAGGAAGTAACGTCGCTTTTTACGAGCCGCCAACTTCGGAACTGGGCCAACCGCGACCGCGCGTCTCGCAACCGTGAAAGCATGCGGAGTTCTCTGGGTCGAATGGAATCCTCGTAAACTGATGTAGAGAATTGATACGTGTGTGTCTTTAAGCAGGAAAGATTGTTATGTGGATTCCGTTGAATTTATTGTATTTTCGTCGGGTGTGTATTCGTCGGTATGAGATATCGCGAATTGCTTGGTCGAAAGAGATGTAGATACATGCCTCTCGCACGCGCAGATGGGATAACGAATCGCTGGCGGTATTTCCGAAAATACATCTCGGTGATGTATAGCCCGTAGTAGCACCGAATCCAGCGTTTCCTGACGTGTACATACAACGCTGCAGTGTTTTCTTCGCGTCTTCTTCCGGATCACCCAATTTCCCAGCAGTTTTCCTCTCTCTCTTTCTCTCTCTCTCTCTCTATCTCTATCTCTATCTCTCTTTCTCTCTCTCTCTCTCTCTCTCTCTCTCTCTCTCTCTCTCTCTCTCTCTTTCGACCCGTATACCTACTCCGCGATGGTGGGGGAAGATTTGCGCAGTGGCCTCCTACCGAAGGGGTGGTTACCGAGATAGTAGTGGCAGTCATGGTCAAGACATTACGATTGTCCCCGGAAGACGGATGTTCGGTATAAACGATGGCCAATAGAGAATCGCGCGACTTCATAAGAAACCCGTAACTATTGGAAATGAAAATTACATTGGGAATAACGAGAACAATACTACGAGCGATGGCAAATAAAAACGAATAGGGCACGGGGAACCGAATTGACGGGAGAGAAAGAGAGAAAGAGAAAGGGAAAAAGGGGGGAGATGGAGGGAGAGAAAGAGAGGAACTGCGAGAGGGTTAACGGGATACAGAGGAGAAGGGATACGCAGAGAACGGGACGGCGAGTAGGGGTAGTGGTACCGGGATGGAGCCTGCACAGAGGTTGCTGTCGACGCCCTGCCGCTGCTTCCTGGTTTCCCTATATTGATTTTCCACCGTGGTGCGAGCCAGACAGAGACGGAACGGAGCCGAGAAACATTTCCCCTCTGCGTTTCTGTGTACGTATGGTACGTATATGTGTGTAAACTGAGTGCCTGTAGAGGCGCGTGGGTGAGTGCGCGCGCGCGCGCGAAGCAACCCTAGAGAGGGAAGCGGGTTGGTGCCTGGGTGGGGATCCGAAGGGCCCGCGCGGTCGTACACGAGGAAGGAAGGAATACCAGGACCAGGGGGTTATATAGGCGACGCATTTGTGGAGAAGGAGGGGCCACCTTTTGCACTTCCACCGGCGTGGAAAGATGGGCACGATTATTCGACATCAGGGGCCCACCCCTTTCTCTCCTCTCTCTCTTTCTCGCTCTCCCTGCTCCATTCGTGCGATATATACTCTGGTATCCGTCTTTTCTCCTTTCCCCCGTGCTCCACTGTGTTGACCAAATAAGTGTCACGGCCGTTTTATTCCAAGGCGGCTCGAAGGCCGCGCTCGCTTGAGTCAGTCATAATTTTCAATATTTGTCTAGGATGAGCAGGACGTGTGCAAATTATCACATGTTTTGCGAGAGATTTATATAAATATCGCGTATCAAATAATATTACATGCATCAGATATACGGTTTATTAAGCAGTAGAATTAAAGCAGTATGATATATAATATTATATGTTTGTATATTCATTATCTTAGAAACTTTTTATATTGAAATAAAAATTCTTTTCGACAGATTCGAATCAGTTTTTCCTTCCATTTATTTTGACTAAGCTTCTTGCATCGCTGAAACTTTACGTTGTTTGAATCATATTTCACAATTATTTATAAATACAACGAGAACTTTTAAAAGCAGAAAAACGGAACGTTAGAAATTCCAGCATCCGTTTACTCAGACATGCTCTAAGAGGAAACATTCCGTTTGCGCGAGTAGACATTTTTCTCCTGCATCGCGCCCGTTATTTTTTGTTACATCGGCCGTTCTTCTCAATTGGTCACCTTCAAAGTCTCTCCTCCGTTATCGTTCTCACCCATTTCTTTCCCCTATAACTCCTCGTCTACTTCCTTTACGAGATGCTAGACGCGTAGAAAGAAATCAGGACAAAGGAATTGCTCGAATGAGAGAATATAGAATGGTTCTTAATACAGACCTATCAAGCAGGGTGGAGAAGATTTTTTTTCATTCGAGAAACATAATTATTTCCAATGTTTCACTATACTTTGAACATTTACAGAAACGTGGAAAGTCAAACGTGGAAAGTCGTATAAACTGCAAAAGATTAATTGAACGACACTATTATACTTTGATAAATTGCAACCATTTGAATCTTCTTCAAATAATGCACACTGAAAAAAATTTTGTTTGAATATTGCCAAAAAAATATTCTGTTGTAGTAACTGTACATCATTGTACTGAACTCTCTGTTTTGATGATTTGAATAAGCCTTTTTTACATCAACAAATTATTTCGGAATATTTTAGTTATATTTATTTGAACGTATCGGACAATATATTTAGTTGGGTAAAACAAATTTTGCCTTTTTCAACCAAGTTTTTTTTTCAGTGCACATGTCGATTAAGATCCATAAATGACATTCTAATCTGATCGCCGAAAGATTATTAATTTTCGGAGGCCGACTTTTTCGAACTTTCTGCGCGAGGAAGTCGGCAATTCCATGGCGTGACGTCCGAAATAAAAGAGGTCGTCAGGCTTTATCAAACTTTCGTCGGAAACACGGCATTTCGGCCGCGTGATAGCCAAAATAAAAGAAAGGAAACGGATGTGCATTAAGGGTGTGGCGACGACGACGACGAAGAGGATGGAGGGGCGAGGATGGCTGGAACTTTTTGAATGTACCCCGTTCTCTTTAACTGCACCCCCCGATTCGTTACAAGTGGTCTATTATGGGCTTTTCTCTCGCATCTTTCGCCCTTGTATTTCTTTCCTGCTTACGCGAGTATAGTATGTTTCCTTCTGGCGGAATCTTCTCTCTATAACACTAAGAACGTTATTTCTCTTATCGTTTTTTCAACCTCTTCCGTCGTCTTCCTCTCTCGCCAGTTTATATATCCTATCTCACGGTACATTCGCTTCACGCTAGAAGGCTTTTTTTAATCAGAAATAAACGAATCTTCTTATATCTCGAAACGGCTCGCCATGAAAATTGAAAATCTAAAATTTATGGACTTTTGAATGTAATTTTTTTTATATATCATGTAGCGACTAATGATCGGTTTTTATTTCGAGACAATGTGAAGATCTGAGTATCGTCTGTGAAATTGTAATTTAAGTGAAATAGACAAATATTTTGCTACTAATACATTTCGAGAGAAATTAAGAGTTATATCTGTCAAAAAACATCAAATTCTAATGATGTACAATTCTTAGAATATATAATTGCCAAAACTTTATATGAGTTATATTAATTTATGACAAAGATCTATATTATTGAATTGTTTAAAATAATTTTTAGTATTTAACTAACTTTTTTTTTAAAAATCTAAGAAAAATTAAGTTATAAGTTATGAATATGAGATTCATAGTCCTTTTTATGTTTTTTAGGATCGTATGACGGCTAATGGAAATTCACCATTAGACAACATGAGGACCTTGGAACACTATCTGAGCGATATTATGCGAGCCAGCGCGGCGGATACTCCGGAGCATCTGAAAGGTATGTCTCATATCTTGCTCTAAGCTGCGCGCAATTGAAACGATATACAACGCGAGCATGCAATATCTGCGGTCGTTCGCAAAGTAACGGCTCAGGATTCCGCGTGTCAACACCGTTAAACCGAAATGCGGAGAATCCCGCATCGCAATTGCGAGAAATCCGCTCTCTTTTGCGTTTACAACGGTTGGGAATGCGTCGAGAATTCAATGAAGTATCTTGCGAAAGCTATCACATCCCCGAGATAATCCTACTCTCGAATCTACGATGCGCGAATATCGAGTTTGACGCGTTAGACGATAACGTAAAGAGTTAGAACAAAACAGAGAGACATGTGAAAAGCTGCAAATATTATTGAATTATTTTTTCGTTTTAAAAACAAAAAAATAGAATAAAATAAAATTCAATCTCACAACTAGTAGATCCTTTTCAAACAAAAATATATATATAATTCAATAAATGATGTAAAACAACGCAGACTTTGTATCCTCCCATAAATTTTGCTTTATCACGCGATAACAAATGCGATTCCCATGATTTCATAAACAGATTATAAAAATAAACATATATGAGTGCAAGTTGGATACGACGTTCCAATATATTTCTTGCTATAGACTTATATATCTTGATTACACGTCACGCAGCAGGTAAAACGTAGGTACTATCCACTACGTTTTACTTATTTACATTGACGCAACGTTTATAATCATAGTGCTATATATATGTATATATTCTGCACATCGATCTCTAGTCGTAACGTTGCATTTAATGCATCGTTTGATTACGTCGCTTCGAGTCTATGTCTATTGCATCGAGGGTGTACTCGAGGTCGATCGCCTCAATGTGAACTCTCGTAAACCGTCCGATACGAAGCTATTGAAATTTAAGAGCAATTAGTGCACAGAGATATATGGAGTCTAAATGTAAAAATATTTACTAATACCGTTCAAATACTGCGATATTTTGCTAAGATTGGATGGAATTTTTATTCCAGGCCAAATATTCGAACGATCATGACAATCGATAGAATATCATCAATATGAAAAAATTATGAAAAATGAATTTTCATGTGATTAGTATGATGGCATTCATTTCCTGCGTGACTGGTGCTTATAAAGTACTATTATACAACGTTACAACGTGACAGTACTACCGATTCTTATATGAATGGGCCTCGAGCCAGCCACCAACCTGATCAACCCAACTCCAAGCGAGACGACTACTCGACGCATTCAAGTCCAAGTACTCTGCACCCTCCACTCGACGCGACTCTATTCGCTTTACGTCGGCACGTAAAGAGACGATGCACGAATTACGCAGTGTGTACGTACGGCATGCGTACGTACGGGTGGACGCACAGAGCGTTGGGGAAAGCAAGACGGCGTAAGCGGCGGAAGCAGGATAGCATGCGTCTCGTCTGTGTCGTTTCTCTCCTACCCCTTTCGCACCCCATTTTCTTTTTTTTGGCGCTTACCCGACCTGTCTGCTGGTAGAAAGAGGGAGAGAGAGCCGGCAAACCCCTCAGACGAGCATTCTCGCACCCTGTAGTCAAGGGCAAGGGTGCCATCGTCGAGCGTCTACTTCGTCGAGCAGTCTCCGTGCGATGAAACCGTATGCCAATCAAGGGAGAAAGAGAGAGAGGGAGGGAGAATAAAAAAAGGATGAACGAAGTCGAGGGTTAGACGCTCCGATGCAAAGTCTCGGATTTTTTCCTAGCGAACTTCAAACGAGCCTACCTATCTATCTACTCGATCCTGAAAGGGTCTGCCACGAAACTCTTCTTTCGTTTCGAAACGCGAAGGTAGGTGGTCGTCCAAATTCAGGACAGTGCTGAATTCAACGGAGTGTCTATAGTCCGACGTCGTCGTTGGGATTTATCGATCGCGCTAGTGCTTTTAGAGTAGACAATGCGAGGCTCCGCGGTAGCTTTTGCTGGCAGGTCGCAGAGAAAATAACCTGGATTATGTGGGTGTACGATAGTCGAGTATCTTTGTTTCTCGCAAGTGCATTACTGAGGTCTTGTTAAAGATATTTATCAAGAAATTAGGACAATATGATAGGGAGTTGATGTACTCTATTACGATATTTCATTAAAATCACTCCTTTTTAGCTTTAATGCTGCTATAATCGATGCAAGAAAATGAAACTTTCTTTTAAAAATTAAGATCGTTAGCACTTGTGCTCATTTCTTCCAATTATTTTTCTATTGTAACGCGATAATGACTCTGCTCATTAAACTCTGTCCATCTTTTTTCAGAAATCAACCTTTTTATTAAATTATATCACACCATCGATGGAGAAAGTATAAAAGATTCAAATAAACTTGGCGTCTTCGATAGATTTGAATCTTTAGATCTTCATTATTTTGCATTATATTGAATTATTTTGAAAATTATATCGCGATGATGTGATTTATGTCGACTATCTTTGTTTCCTGAAGTTCTTTTGTTTTAATCCACTGCACGTCTGATCCGCAATTAAAATCTGATTCGAGAATAGAGTTAAATAATGATGCAGTATAAAGAATGAAGCCCTCATCAATCGCAATAGAGAATATCAACTTTTTAAAAGCAGAAATATAGAGAAAAATGAATAAGATTTAAAAAAATAGATAACACAAAGAAAGTGATTGATGAAAGCAAAATTTCGAGAGACAGCTTTCGAAAAAAGATATTTTTACGAATAGAATTTTTTTTAATTTACAATAATTTAAAAAAAATTTGTTCCTGTCATTAAAATTCCTAAATACTATAAAAAATATCAATCATTTTGTTATCTATTTTGTTTGGAAAAATAGCACACACTGTATAGTAAATGTTAATAATATACGTAGCTAAAATTATTATCGCATTTTAACTTTGTCATTTAACTTTGAATATTTTAACAGTGTATATCCTTTAGATGCGAAGAATTTTAGGAATTAACGATCCTCGCGCGCTAACTTGTGCGAAAATACAAAGTAACCGAGTTAAAGTAGCATCTATCTCGCGGATTATAAAGTTTGAAATTCGTGAAGTTTATCGGCGCCTCCGGTTTTCGGTACGGTATATCTATTAGGAGAAAAGTTATTTGAAGTTTTACGGCAGGATAGGTTGAGATGAGTCGCCCATTTGTTTTTTTTACGGAAATGGTTATGCGAACGAGACAACTTCATCGGTCGTAACTGCTGTTACATCCGGATTTTCTAACAACTTGACCTACTGCTGCAACGTTAAAGCGCGATGACATTTTTTGTAGCGGCAAGTACGCCCCCTCAACGCTACCTTACAATGCTCCTAAAGAACGGAGAGCTTTTTAAAAGAAAAGGCTATTCTGTAATTATAAAACTTGTCTTTGCACTCTCTTCGCTCCGAAGCATTTATCTTCGTGTATCTTCTTGCGCAAAAAAAAACAGCTCTAATCTATCATTTACATAGATATTTTATCCTTATTTCCGACTCTCTCGTTATATTTTCTTGGTCATGTTTATTTAGAAAGATAGAAAATATCCAAAATTAAACGCATTATTTAATAGACAAATACTCGAGTGTTTGTGATGTATATATATTTGTCTATTTAAGTATGTAATGCTTTTCATTTTGGATATTTTATATTTTTCTAAGTAAACATAAAAATATAGCAATATATATATATATATATATATATATATATATATATATATATACGTATAAACATTTCTGTTCAAACAAATATTTACCAATAAAATAGGACTTAAAGAAACTCCAAGCAACATACAGAAAGATATAGTACGATGCAAACCTGTTTGTATGTTCAAATTGAAACATCAAATAGGAATAAATATCTGATCCACAAAACCAATATTTCTTCGAGCTTGAAGTAAATATATTTGTTATTGTTATTGTTATTTCACTTATCTCATATGATATATCTTATCAATTGAAAACTACTGTGATATGTCATATAAAATGCAATGCGTACAAAAAATCAGACAAATTTTGCTTCTTTAATAACAAATGCATTTTCATTCATGGGTACCTTCGTACGGCCACTTCTGAATAAACCGCGATGCGAGACGTTTAATACGCCCGCTTCGCATGCCCTTGAACAGTGCTGGCTTTATAATTTCATTTTCTGACCTATATATGACTATCATGTAATTAGTTAGTAACACGACGGGACTGAGAGAGGGTGGTTTTAACTGCCGCGTTCTCCAGCTACCTAGGGTTTCATTGGATCATACATTCTACTCTCTCTCATTCGTTCTCTTTCTCTCTTTTTCTCTGTCTCTCGCTATACTTCCGGCTTCTCTCCCTCTCCTCTTTCTCGAATCGTACATAAGTGTGTATATAATTGAAAAAGCTGAATGGATAACGAGGGTGTGCTCTGCACATATACGGGTATATCACGACCTTGAAAGAAAACAATTAATACTAACCAATTGTAATACTCATTTTAAAATTAAACATTCTTAGCCGATTAAAAGCCGGTTTTGTAAGGTGCTTTATAAAAAAATCCGTAAAGAGAAACGTGAAATATAATATTTGGATTTGAAATCTACTACTTAAAAATTTTATTATCCAAATAAATGGCTGTCTTTTTTAATACATTATATATTATACATTATATAACACACATATAGATAAAACTTCAATATTGCATTTGAATAAGTGATAAAATAAACAAAGTACAAGGAAGTTCTTATCTTGAAATTAATTAATTTATCAATCTTTTCGCGAGATATAATAGAATCAAGCTTTTATATTTAATGCGGAATGTGCATGATAATATTTCACCAGAATTATTAAATCAGAAAATATATTGTATTTTATTCTCGAATGTATAAAATGTAAAGTAAAAAGTTTTAGTTAGTAATATTATAAAATTGAGCTTTTTATAAGAGAGGAAATGAGGCCATTTAAAAAAACTGAAGCTCACAATATAAAAGAGTATTGAATTTTTTAAGAGATATATAGCTTATACATATATAATGCGTTAACAATTTTCAAAAATTTTATCCGATATTTATTAAAAATAAAATCTAA